CAATTTGTACAGTGCTCAAAGAAGTCAATAATCTAGTAAGGCTGTAAGTAGTAAACACTGCTAGTGCTAGACCAGCAATTAATTATACACAAAATTAACTGACTCAAAACTGCTCAAGGTAGTTAAGTCCAAAGCAGACCCTAAAGAGCTTCAAAAGGACCTCACAAAACAAAGTGACTGGACAACAAAATGGCAGATGAAATTCAATGCTGATAAATGCAAAGTATTGCTTATTGGAAAACTTAATTCATACATTTATACATACAACTTATGATTGGAGAACAATTCATACAGCAGTCAGATTAAAAAATCCAATAAGCCATGATGGCACAAAAACAGATAAGGAAAAACTACCAGTAGCAGTTAAAAAAATAAAAAGTTTGTGCAGGAATTTGCTTTAGTGAGAATTTACTGCTGTCTATGCAATTGTTATTTACATGCAAACCTATTCTATGAAATACACAACACCCACTTTATACAAATATACTGTAGTTACATTGTCCATCCCTGAATTCATGAATAGTCTAATGCTATTCTTCTTGTTAACTATTTGAGCTTTTTCCAAGCATTGTTGTTAAAATTAAGAGGAACTCTGCTCTATTTCTTTACTGTGTGCATCATGTAGTGTCTGGTCACCTGAGAATGACCTGAAGATGAGCTCTCTGTAGTTTGAGAACTTCGCCTTTACACCATCAGCAGTCAGTGCAGTAAGACAGCAGTGCACAACCCAGGGGATCGGGGCTGTCTTCCTGGGGGCGGGGGGTGGTGCAGTCCTGGGCTGTCTGCCATTTTGTTTTCCCGGCTCGGCGCCCAACGTACGCACAATGGGGATGGGGGGAGTGGCAGGGGAGCGGACCAGGCGCTTGAAATTAAAGGGCCACAACAAAATGTGGCTTTTTTTTTCTCAACCAAAATCCTGGATTTTTTTTTTCTGCTCAACCAACATTTTCTCAGCCCTGTGGGTCGCAAATTAAAAAAGGTTGAACACCATTGCAGTAAGAGATAGTACCTCACTCACCTTATCTCATTTTCCAATAGTTCACTAAGAAACATGACTAACATTATGTTGTGTAGCTTCAGGGGGTAGTAGAGTTAGTCTGTACAGGATAAACTTAAAACAGCAAATGGTCTGGTAGCACTTTATAGACTAATAAAACATGTAGATGGTATCACGAGCTTTAGTGGGCATGGCCCACTTCTTCAGATGAACGGAGTTTTGAGTTTAGGATGTCCAGACCCAAAATAAATAGGGGAGAAAGAAGAAGGGGGAAGGAAAAAATGGAAGGGGGCAGGAAACAAGGAGCAGAGGTATATAAATATCAATGTGCGTTATAAAGTGGGGAATGTGTGTTGTTCATTCTATTATCCTCTCCTTTGAGGAAGAAGAGCACACAGTGGAGCACACTCTGTGGTTTCAGGCTTTCTATATCATATAATGTTAATTTTATTTATGTCAGAGAAGGCAGCAACAAAGAAATGCACCTTAGACTTGGATGTAATGTTGTTTAGGAAGATGTTTGAGTAGTTAATAGGCAGTGGTTTATTAAAAGACTATTTTAACAGATAGCCAACATGCGATTCTGAGCTCTGTTCACCAGAAAAGATTATTGTGCTCTGATGTGCGTTTATTTGACCTTCATGGACAATGACTCATAAAAAGAGCAAATATTTCATATGGAACAAAGCTGTTTTTCCACAGTAAATATATCGCCCACGCTGTTCCCTTGAGAAGTGCACAAGCCAGCAGGGATGAATCAGATGGAAAGAGGAAAGGAAAACAAGTGCTCTGTTCCAAAATCATACACTAAAATTATTCTGAGAGACCTTTACTGTAGAAGTGTTCTAACTGGGAGAACACACAGAGATCCGCTCTTACTCATGGTTTACAAAGAAACTAACTTGTATGAGTCTTTATTACCTTGCTGTTATTCTAAAGAGGTGCATCTACACAACAGGGCTTAACTCGAAATAAGCTATGCCAATTGAGCTAAGTCAACTGCATAACTTATTTTGAAATTGAAATTGAGAGTGTCTAATTGACAGCACTTATTTCAAAATAGAGCACTCTTCCTCTGACTTCCCCAACTAGCATACAATGAGGGGTCCTAGAGCTTGACAGTATTTTGACATTATTTCAAAATAACTGCCTGCTGTGTAGACGCGGACTAAGTTATTATGAAATAACACTAGTTATTTTGAAATGTTGCTATGTAGACATACCCAAGAGGACTAAGTTATCAGAAAAAATATTCTTCAGCAATGTGCATCACATCCATGGTTTTAAACACAGTTGATTTTTTTAAAACACATATTGTACAGTGGTTTCCTTTTTATTCTAGGTTGCAAGCTAGGAAAAGAGACTCCTTTGTTGAGTGTTGGGTGTTCTAGATTTGGCACTCAAAATCATTCCTCTGATTCAACAAGGGAAATTTTCACACCTGTTCTTGGAGTACTCTAAACTTAAGTTTTCTGTCAACTCAGACTTTGGCTATGTCTACACTGCAGGCTTCTTGTGCAAGAAGGTTTTCGTGGAAGAGTGCGTCCACACTGCATGGATGCTATTTCGCAAGAAAGGCCACCCAGGAGCATTTCAGGCAGGGCAGAAGGTCACCAGTTGCTTCTGAGGGCTGGTGCCGGAACTCTGCAGAGACACACGCTTAAAAGGACCCCCCTGGATAGCAGTTTCTCTGCTGCTGCTGCTGCTGCGTGCTTGCCTATCTTTTTGAGGGACAGCAAATCTCTAGTGTTGTACCAAATAAAAGCAAGCAGGATCTTATGAGGGGGATAAGGCAAAGCCACATTTATTGTAAAGATAATAATAAAAAAATAAAGAAAAGATAGAAGCAAACAACGTTGTTTAACTACTTATTCCTATCACTACTTAACCCTTATACACTTTATATATATAAAACCATTCATTCATACATCCATTCATTCAAGTTCTGTGTATAGTTACCAGCCTGGAAGTTGCTTGTGACAGAATACTGGCCAGGTACTCTGTACACAAGTGATGGTAGTGGGGAGCGAAGTCCTGATCAGATGCGCATCTGAAGCTCCTGGTAGGCTGGCAGCAGAACCTTGGACTCTGATTCCATAGTTTTTTAGTCCAGTTCTTATAGGAATTTCTTCCTATGCCAGTCTATGGAAATTGCTGCATCATGCTGATGTCTCCAGGGTGGCTGCCAGGTGCTCATCAGTGATCTCATCGGGTGGACCTCCAGTTTCTCCACTTGACACCTTTTGGTTGCACTGGCACCTGACGCCTTCTTCAGCCCTTTGTTGCTGTATTCTCAGGCTGGCACCTCTCAGAACCATTCACTCATCATCCAAGCACTCTCTCATACATTCATACAGTATTTTGTATAATAATAAAAGTTGTAGTTACAGAAAGTTTCTGGGTGGTATTGCTTAAAACATTCTCTGAGTGCTGAATAAAGTTACAATGTTTTAAAGAGAACAGGCCTCAATTAAGTAACAATGCCCTTAAGTCAATTACAGGGCTTGGCTCCCATAGCAGAGTTAGTGGCTTGACAATGCATTGTTACAATGTATCTCTGCAATGTCAATTTCAAGCAGCCCCTTGCACAAGCTTGAGCATGCCCTGGAGCACAGAGGGGGGGAGGGGGCTGTTTCTGGCTACATAGGATTATATTCTTAACAGTTAGGATTATATTTTTAACAGTTCTAAGTTACATGACCTAATACATTATATTCTAAAGGGACAATAATAATCATAAATCTAAACATTTAACAATCTTAACAAATAATAATAATAAGAAGAAGAATCCTAATAAATCTAAACACTTTAAGTTGTGGGGAACAAATTATGGGGAGTCACTTCCATTTGGAGGAATCATTTTCAATACATTAATATGTTATCCCTACAAAGGCAGAAGAAAGAGCAAAAAGAGAGATCTAAACTTGCTCAAACTTACTCTAGTGCAGTTGTAAGCAAACTATGGCCTTTGGACAACATGCATAGCTCGTCTGGAATGGAATGGGATTGTTTTCCATAACATGGAAAGGGAGGGGTCAGATAAGAGGGAGAGTTAAGCTCCCCAATGACCACTGGGAACAGTGGGCACGGGAGACAGATATACTGGACAGCGACCATAGGGGGTCTCCTGCATAAGGAAGAATCATAGAACTCTAGAACTGGAAGGGATCTCAAGAGGTCATCAAGTCCAGTACCCTGCCCTCACTGCAGGACCAAGCACCATCTAGATATTCCCTGATAGCTGTCTATCCAACTTCCCTTAAATATCTCCAGTGATGGAGATTCCACAACTTCCATGCCCAATTTATTCCAGTGTTTGACTTGACAGTTAGGAAGTTTTTCCTAATGTCCAACCTAAACCTCCCTTGCTGCAATTTAAGCCCATTGTTTCTTTTCCTATCATCAGAGGCAAAGGAGTACAATTTTTCTCCCTCCTCCTTGTAACACCTTTTTAGATATTTCAAAACTGCTATCATGTCACCTCTCAGTCTTCTCTTTTCTAAACTAAAATAAGTCCAGTTCTTTCAATCTTCCCTCATAGGTCATGTTTTCTAGATCTTTAAACAATTGGATTGCTCTTCTCCGGACCTTCTCCACTTTATCCACATCTTTTTTGAAATGTAGTGCCCAGAACTAGACACAATACTACAACTGAGGACTAATCTCACAGGGTAAATTGGAAGAATGACTTCTCATGTCGTGCTCACGATACTCCTGTTAATGCATCCCAGGATCACGGTGGTGGGTTTTTTTTTTGGTGGTTTGGTTTTTTTGCCTGTGGTCCACCATAACCCCTAGATCCCTTTCTGCAGTACTACTTCCTAGACAATCGCTTCCCATTCTGTATGTGTGAAACTGATTGTTTCTTCCTAAGTGGAGTACTTTGAATTGCTCTTATTAAACTTCATCCTATTTACCTCAGAACATTTCTTGAGTTTGTCCAGAATTTTTTGAATTATGACCTTGTCCTATAAAGCCATTGCAACCCCTCCCAAATTGGTATTTACTCCTATAGTTAAATATTTTTGTTTTGTAGGCAAAACAGGTTTCAATGGTTTTTACCCCTTCTTGTGGGTGAATTACCCCACTGTGTAATTATTAAATTTAGGAGGTGTACTTTAGTTTTCCTCTTATACAGCAGACTAAGTTAGTAAGTTTCTGCTGTGTTAGGTTTATGAATAGAGAGTAGCCAAGAAGCATTATTACTATAATGCTGTAAATATTTTTGTTTTGTAGGCAAAACAGGTTTCAATGGTTTTTACCCCTTCTTGTGGGTGAATTACCCCACTGTGTAATTATTAAATTTAGGAGGTGTACTTTAGTTTTCCTCTTATACAGCAGACTAAGTTAGTAAGTTTCTGCTGTGTTAGGTTTATGAATAGAGAGTAGCCAAGAAGCATTATTACTATAATGCTGGGAGGGTTTTAAGTGTGAGATGTGTTTCCAATGATTATTTTAACATTTTAAAGGTTTTTCTTTCTTTAAAAAGAAAATCATGTACAAATACAGGGTTACGTATGAACAACCCTGTGTTTTACTAGCATTAAACAACAAGTAGCCCTGTGGATCTTACCAATAGGTGTTTAAGTATTCTGTGATAGCATGCCTTTTATTTAGACAAGTTAGCTTTGAGACCAGTGTGTTTAAAACCATCTTGAAATTTTTCCATATGCTTTCCAATCCTTTTTGTTCTGATCTCAGGTAGTTTGCTAATCAAACTATCTATTTACCTGCAAACCTTCTTTGTGCTGCCAGCTAGGGCATTTGCACCACAGACACTTTCTGGCTTGCTTTTAGATTAAAAGCTGTTTGTAGCTTTGTCTTAAAAAGGGACACAATAACTTTTGCCAGAGATTTACAGTTTTGAGTTTTTACTTTAAGTTCTGCTTTCTCACACAGCAACCTGAAAAGGAAATTACAACCTGTTGTGGCTCCTGGAGCCTTCACAGGATTTTGATTTGTTTCCAGTTTTTACCTCCTTCTACAATATACATTGCATGTCACAGGAAAATGTGCATTCTTTGTTTATAATGTTATTTAGCCATATTAATTTTTGCATCGGGTGTAACTATTTGTTTTATGCTTACTGAGTTTTCCTATACTTTTATTAAACAACTTGGTATGAAATGGCTTTACTAAAAACAAAACAAACCAATTTGTTTTAAGCATACAAAACAGTTTACTAACCTACAAAACAGGAGTTCTGGATCTTAAAAACCTTACCTACTATTTACACTGTATTTACACACAGATACATGCATATATTCTCTGAATATTTCTAACACTATTTTTACATACCTGTACAAAGATTACATTCACTTTTATTCATTTGGGGGTACTTAAGTTCCCAATAGAACCCCCTTGAAGTTTTTTAGTTAAATTTGCCTGGATTATTTACAGACACTCTTTTGGAAAAGGGCCCCTTTTTCCTTCAGAATGGCTGCAAAGAAACCAAGAATTCTTTTCCTATAACATTTTAGCATTTTCACAACTGCTCAATTCCTTCCATACTCTGTAGAGTTAACTTTTCTGTGGGTTTTTTTTTTTTCTTTCTTTCTTAAAACACTTTATTTCTTAAAATGAAAACTGGCCTTGCTTCAGATATTACTTCTTGTAAGTATTGTTTTAAGAATTTAGATTTACAGTACCTGTACTTACTGCTTTTTCTTAGTTCTACCACAAAGCCTTCAATCTATCTTTTGCCTGCCTGCTTGTCTGGGCCTGATCCTGTTTTTCTTGCTGAATGGCCCTTTTCCAAGGACACAGGCTTTGTCCCATTACCAGTTTAGCAAGGAGGGTGGCCTTGTTCACTAAACCCCACACCTCCTGGTCCTTTTTTTTTTTAAAGCATATTCCTGAAAACTTTGAGAGTGCTACTTTAACTCTCAGTACCCATCCTTAAGGGAATCTAGCTGTGTCTGGGTACTGAGGGACAGACATTTCCAACTTTTTGCTTTTGCAGCAGAGGCTTTTACATTTTGCAGTTTCATATCTGAATTCTTATATTCAGTTAATTTGAGGAACACCTCCTTACAGGTTTCATAGGAGCCAAACTGAATCTGTG